AACTAACATTTTTTCGACTTTATTGATTGTCCAAAAATTGATTTTGTAATAAAATCCGATATAGGAATGGAAGTCTACATAGTTGAAATTGAATCAAATGAAATAAAAAGTCATATTACATCGAAAAGGGCAAAGTAGAAGTTTGGAGACTAAATGAAAAGTGGATCAAAGTCAAACGAAGGAAAATGGACAATGCATCCAAAGCCTTCTTTAGGTGCCGGTGATTCAACTATCAAAGTCAAGCTAATGATGTTAAAGAAGCGCTTCTTGAGAGACAACCCAAACTTTTTTCCTTTTTATTTATTTTGTTTTTCAGTTTTATGATAGTTTAGTTTATTTTTAAATTTATTTGTGACTCATCATCCATACCGCTTTTTCCTTATATTTTGGATATGTTAGTTGGTTTATTAGATGTTAGAACTAAGTAACACTTGTTCCAATTATTTGATCTTAATGTTTTATTTGATTTTTTAGGAACATGACGTCGTAAAACATTTAAACCAAAACTGTTCAAGGAGCTAACGGGATTAATAGGAAAGCTAGCAATTGAATTACAAGTCAGTCAGGGAAGTCTTTTCTTCATTTTTTTCCCCACCCCTTTATATGCATATTTATGATTAAAAATATTGAGGACAATATCTAATTTAAGTTTGGTGGTGAAAAACATAAGTTTTCATTTTTTTTTTAGAAAAATGCTATGAGATGTACACATAGTTTTACACCCCTCTCACATGGAGAGGGGCCCACGAATGTTTTATTGTGTGTATGCCCCCTCCATGTGAAGGAGTGAAAAGCCGTGTGTACACGTAGCATCCCTTTTTTTTAATGTGTTTTTGTCATTTTTTATTGCTTTAGTAAAAAAAAAAAAAAATCATTTTGTGTGCTTGTGTGAGTTAGTTGGTCTAACTTGAAATGACGAATATATTGAATCATGAATTGATCTATGAATGGTGAATAAACTGTATGCTTAGATTAATTTTTTATTTTTCATATGAAATTTGATATATATTGAGCACGTGAATTAAGTGAAGTATTGTGTAAGAATGAGTTGATTTTATATTTGAATATGTTGAAATAGTGGACCATAGAAGTTAAGCCCAATACCGCTAAATTTTACATTCTTGGACCAAATTTAAAATAGTTTGGGGGATTTTACTATTGTAAGAAGATGTTGAGATAAATAGGGATTCCATGTGTGAAATTAAAAATCTTGTGTGGATTGTTTAAGGTCAATGAGATGCAATTGGGTGAAAATCTCAAATTGGGGGTCGTTTTACTTGAATTAGAGTTAAATGGGAGACATTGCACTAATCAAGGCATAAAAAAATATTTTATTAGAAAATTTCTTTTTTGTAGCCTTTATGACTCGAGCAATTAAGCTTGCAAGGGTCTTTAAAACCTAGTACCCTATGATCATCTGGCTTTGGAGTCATCGACCGAAAGCTTGTTACATGGGTCATCTAGAAAGTTTAAGGGAGATAATGCTTCAAATAAAGAAAAAATTATTCTTTAAAAAAAATCAAAAAAAGCAAGTGCATGAAAAAGAAGACGCACCAAATACCTTGATTAAGTCTCAAACACTTCTTTAAGAAAATTTGACTTTTGATAAGAGATTGTTAGTCTAGTTAAGTCCTGGAGATTGAAACAATCAAATTTAATGGAGAATCCTTGTTTATTGGAATGTTAAACTGTAATTAATGAAATTTTGTCAAATTAGAGATGTAGGGATAGTAAAAAAAAATTAAACATTAGTTTATACACTAGAAAAAGGGTGAAAATAATAAGTTTGGGGGTGTGTGAATCTTACGAGTGATGAAAAAACATATTTGACCATTGAGAGTTGGGAATTGAAACAATTTAATGAATTCATAATGATAAGCTTAATTCATATTATATCTTGGGAGAAATGTGATATGTTATTATTCACTTTATCTTCATGAATAATTTATGGGGCAAATGGATCCCGATTTATTTTATATATGTGAGGTGAAGATATTATATTGTATTACAGGTTGGTTTAGTCCATATTGTAGAGGAGATGCTGTCGAAATTTCGACAAATTATATGCAGACTGCAGTATCTACCTTTCGAGGCAATTCGTAAGTCCTCGCTTATTCAGGCTTGCACACATTTTTTGAGGCAGTTCGTAAGTCTTCAATGAAGCGATTTATACTCTCGAGACAATTAATAAGTCCTCACCTATTTGGAACCGAATCATATTTTCGAGGCAGTTCGTAAGTTCCCGTTTATCCGACCTACTTATATTTTTTAGGTAATCTGTAAGACCTCACCTACTGACAACTAGTGTTTCAAAGTCTGACCCGTACATGAATGTACAACTTAGACTTGGGAATCTATTGTTACACCCGACGAAGATGATCCCACATTGGCCGACTTGACTATTTATACTTCAAAGTCCGACTCGCATATGAATGTATGAGTCAGATTTGGGGGACTATTTTTACATCCATATATTACGTGGCATCAACTATTTAATTAAAATAAACCTATTTAATCAAGTCGGATATTTCTTAGCCTAAGCTTGGGTCCGGCTCATTAGGCCACATGTCTATTTACATTTCCTATATATATTTGATTCATTTCATAATTTAGGGATGTTTTCTAATCCTATCCAAATCTCCTCTCTCGACCAGCAACATTTTCCTCCTGATGAAATGTTGAGTGTGCAGGTAATGTCCACATGGAGTGGACATTGTAGGGATTCTGTTGGCGCATTTTTTGTAGTCAACATTGACTATTGTCTTGTCCTATACACGTTGAACATGCTCTTATTTAGAGGATGTTTGACACTCATTTTTTGGAAAATAAAATTTTTGGAATTATGATTGATGTGAGAATGTGTGGTAAAATTGGAAGAATGTGTAATTGAAATAAAAAAAGAGAAAAAAGCACCAAACATGGGCT